TGTCGATGAGGGGGACCGCCGCAAAGACTAGGGGTTCCCCCCCAACCGTAACAGTCCCCGGGGCCGAAGTACCAATTTGGGGGAACCCTGGGCTTTGCTTGCATTTTTGGTTCTGCCCCGGGGATTTTCCCGTGGTTGATTGTTGGGCCTCAAAAAATTTTTTGATCCCCTGGTGGGGCGGGAAATTTTGGGACGAACCGGGTTTCCAAATAAGCAGTACTGGGGGTCCCCCGGTATCATTTTGCCGTTGACATCAAGGGGGTGGGGACTCCCGCAGATTGACATTCCCATGAACTGTTGTAGTTTTCCCTCCCCCAGGGTTAGGGGCCCCGGTTTCCCCCCCCCCCCCCCCCCTCCGAAGTACGCTATTTCGTGCTGGCGAAAGTAGCAAAGTGGCGATGCCTTGTAGGACCTCCCTGGTGGCGCAGGGGTAGCGTTTCGATATTCTTCAGAAACGGAAATCACTTGAACTTGAGGTCAACATCGCCCGAATTAAGGGGTGGTGCGGAGTATGGGGTGGTGCTGCACGTGCCCTGGGATGAATTGTGCATCGCTACTGCCAAGCTCAAAGATTATGCAACAGCAAAGTGGAAGGTACGTTTCTCCTGGCGAAAGCGCAAGTTGCCGATGTGGTCTCATTTCGATTGCTTCGCGAGAGCGCTTATTCCAGGTGGGTTGCGAGCACAGCAGCGGTGTTCTTGAGGCAAGACGTAGTTACCGCCTTGTTTCGCCAGTAGAAGGACAACAATGTCTTAACTGTGTAGCGCACTCCTACGTCCTATGATTGACTTGTCCCCCCAGGGGCAACTGGAAAGGTGCTAGTGAGAATAGCCAAGGAGAGGCGGGTCACTCCCAACAGCGACAGCGACGGCGATAGTGATGGGCGGTCACAAGCGTCACAATCGGAAGAAGTCACGAGTGAGGGACGGAGCAACACGCAAGTCAAGCACGTGCAGATAGACACAGGGAAGACATGGCGGGAAGGCGCCATCAGATGGTTCCCGAGGTGCGGACCAGCATTGCATCACGCTCCGCTGAAACTGTTCACGTCCAGGGCATCGACCTGTTGGTCGACTTGTGTTGCCCGTACAGGTTTCAACGGCGATAGAGTCTGAGTGTTTGGGGCGCTTGTCCTCTGCCCACTGCTGTTGCCAACTAATACTGTACCTGCTATCCAGGCACGGGGTGCGTGGATTGGACGGGATCGTCTTGACGCACGATCATGCGGACGCCATGCTTGGCCTTGACGATGTTCGGAGCATACAGGTACGCTCGCAACAACTGGTACAATGTTTTTGTCACCTTTGGCATTGCGTGTTATGATGCCATGTGTGCTGATGTGGTCGTTGCCCTGGGGTCCAAGACTTCCAGAGGACAGGTATGTCGTATTGGCCGCGAAATGTTTGTCTGCCTTTCGTCACACTTCTCGTCACATGTTGTCATTATTCGTGGTAACACTCCAACATTCTCATGCTTGGCATCGAAGATGTGAGAAACACACGTACCGCCATCGTCCATTCTAAAGTCTATTGTTTCAAACCGCAACAATGCGTGCGGATGTGCTTGTCGTGCTGTTTGTTCAGAGCATCAGTCTATTTTATGCGCCAGTACGTTTTTCTGGACGCATCATCCGAGATCAAACGCGAGTTTATTTTTTCTCCACCTTTGTTCTGTGATGCTTTGCCGTTTTTTATTGCGCAAAGCTTTCAGGACCTCCTTTCCCTCGTCGACCGTGTCGCGAGTTGTTGCGTACACACGAAACGCGCCTGTTGTCAGCAATAATCCCTGTCCGTGTGACTGCGCCGAGATCATATCGCACGTCTCCAATATCAGGAGGTTGCGATTACCAAACGTGCCATTTCCGCCGCTATTGAGTAATCAAGCACGGTAGTGTGCTACTTTGGTCGGACCGTACTTACGTTGATGATCAAAGATCATGGTGAGATACATGCAGCACCGATCATCGCACCAGTGGTTTTGCAGTTTAGGACACATGCGGAATATGCAGGTCGCCGGTTTAGTTGCGTCCTGCTTGGACGTTCGGCCGATATCGTGAAAAAATGAAGCATGTGGTACCTGCCGGCACATGAACGTTCCAACCGTACGGATATCGGTAGAAGTAGTATCACGCGCAATAGTCCGTGGTGGTATTGATAGCTGCATTCCTTTTGGTGGGAGTTAACATTCGATAGCCACTTATTCCTCACAAAGGGTCTGCTATCGATCACACCGCTCTAGTCTCAATTGTGGATGGCTTGACAGGCAGTGTGCTGTCATAATCGCAGCAAGTATCTACTCGCAGCAAGTATCTACTCCTCTTCGGAAGTTTGGTCGATGACCAGGGCCCCGCAATCCAAGGGTTCCCCTATCTTCCCTGTCACCCTTACATCGTACCGTCATACCGCGCAGGACTCAAGGAAGCGAACTCCAACACCTGTTCACGTGTCCGAAAGGACCGACCGGTCTGTACGAAGGTAAAGAAGGGCGAAATGGACAGGCAAGATAAATGGCAACTTGAGTCAAAGGCACCAGAAAGAAAGGCGTTGGCATGTTTTGGATGCGCCGACTGTTTGTGTGTCCTTCATTGCCACCCGATGGTCGTATCCGCTGCAGTTTCGATTCACCGACGACTAGTTCGCGGCGTGTGCGTGTAGTCACTAGCACTTGTGCATCTGTGACCTCTCTATTATGTGTTGTGTTGTAAATAGAGGAGTAGTGTAGTCAAATCGGACCTTGCCGAACTGCAACGTAACAGGGACAATCGAAGTCAAAGCAGGCATCCCGTAGAGGACCGTTATTAGACATTCATTGACATTCCTTCTACTTCCATGTACGTAATTTCGCGATCATAGCACACACATCAATGCACACGGAAACCCGTCTTGATGACAATGGTCTTTTGGCAGGGTTTTCCCCTACTTGGTGGGGCGTGAAGATGACAACGGGGCGGGCGGGAGGTTCGTGGCGGCCTTGAACTTCAACGTCTTTCAAGATTTCCAGCCGTTCGAGGTCCGTTGCTTTCCCTCTGTCGACCGATTCTCCAGCAGCAATATGCCTTGGCTCTTCTTTCATTTGCTGCCCCTCAAGCAATTTTCGGTCTGTTAAGATCTCGGGGTACTGTGAGGGTCGTTGGCGAAGCCAGCGATCATGTGGGGGAGGGTGCGTTGCTTTGCTGGTCTTGAGTCGAATATCCAAGAACTTCGAATATATTCCGAGCTATTCAAGTTTTAAGTGTCGGCTAGTGCAGCAGGAGTGCGCTTTACTCCTGCTGCCGTTTGCCCGCCTTTCGTCAAACGATATGCGGAGTCACAAGGTTCGGTTTTGTCAATCATCGCCCTCGTCCATCTAGTGAGTGCCAACTGTGTAAACCCGATGACAGATGTCTAGTCTTGAGAATGTCGCATTGGCACTCGAGGTATCACTGAAGATGAAGGCATCTTTCTGACAGGTTTGATGTTGGTTGGGTCCACACATTGGACAACAACGTTTCCGAGTCAATGGCGCAGGTTGTCTTCGTATATTTCGGCAAGAAATACAAGGTGTGCGGAATTTTCACGTTGGTCTATGATAATGTCCAAGCGGCTGTAGGCGCCGGCCAGCACGTAAGCCAAATATCGTGCACTGTTTTCCACGCTGTATACAAATATCCGCATGCTATGCTAAATCAGGTTGGAGGGTTAGAAATCACCCCGTTTCCGGTGATGCACGGAGAGGACTACGTCTCCCACGGGTTTCTCTTCGGACCAGAAGGAAACAAGATCTGCTACATCTCCGACGTCAGCCGAGTGCCGCCGGAGAGCATGGAGTTCTTGGAGAAACACGGACCGATGCAGCTGCTGGTCTGCGATGCTCTCATGGTGTCCAAGAAGCACCGCACTCACTTTTGGTGAGATTTTTTAAAGAAAACATTGTCTTCGTTGCTCGTTCGTTTGTGTGTGTTGCCCTTTCATTGCCTCCCTCCCGCCCAAAATTGTGTAAATCACGTCCAAAAACTTGCATATGGAACTCACTGGGCGATGGTAGTTCGTTGCTCCCACGATTTAAAGTCAAGGAGAAATTGTTTCTGGCGCGAAACGGGTGAGCGCAACTACGGTGTGGTCATGGACATTAATTTGCCATGTCAGTACATGAATTCCCGACTCCAATGTTCAGGAGATTGCGTTTATGCTGCTGTACATGTAGTCCACATGGTGAAATATTGAGTACCACTTTGAGATATTTCGGTGACTCATCCCTCAGTAAGCCATCCCCAGCATAAATCCTCGCCCGTTGCTCGTATCCCACGTGTTGTCACCGCTTTGGTACTCCTGTAATCCTAGATGGGTAGGCGATTGGTTATTGTACATGTTGTCTCACAACCATGGCTCTCGACCGAAGCATGTGCCCTTCAAGAAACAAGGTATCACCCCGCCCCCCATTTTCTGATATCCTTCGATCAGCACGAGGTGTTTGGGCGTAGGTAGGACACGTGTGTACTGCATGAAACGACCAATGCAGTCTGCAGCATGAGTCTTAACTCTAACCCGCTCACCCACTAACTCACGCATCCCTCCCTGCCCTGTAACCCCTCTCTCTACACTTGTTTTGTATCGATCGGCTGATTTTTCACCAGTGTCGAGGACAGCGTGGTGTTGGCAGGCCAGCTCAAAGCCCGGAGGACCTTGCTCGTGGGTCTGGGCAGCGACATCGAGTACCACGCCACTAACGCGATGCTGGCGTCCCGAGAAGAAGAAGAGTTGGGCATGCCGCACGTGCGGCTTGCCTACGACGGACTCGCCGTTGATGTCGACTTGTGAATGGCCCTTGGGCAGCTGCGTAGTCAGGACTTGGGTGTAGTCAACGAGCTCGACTTTGGGGTAGCGGACCATGTCTACCAGCATATTGTATTGTGAAGCCGTTGAAGCGCGATGCCGTTGGAGGGTCGACGACGATCGATCCAACATGAAAATGCTGACGTTAACGGTTGGATACTTTGATTGACTTGGGTGACAGAGCGGAGATATCGTCCCTGTAGTCTTTGTGGGTGGATCGGAGTTCACAACATTGGGCATGGAGGGCATGCTGTGTGGAATGTATATGAACGGAAATTTCGAAATTGTGATGGCCAACATGGCGCTCGTTGGAGAGCACATGGCGGAGAGAGACCACCGCGAACACTCAGCAATAGCCACGGAATCTTGGAACTCCTTGGAATCCTACAAAAACGCCGCCCTGCCTGCGGAACGGGTCTATGTATGGTTGTGTTTGGAAATAAATTAGTGTGTGCAAGGTCACGTAGTGTCCGTTTGTGCAACAGCAGTTCAGTTTGGCCGCACATCTCGTTGCTTTCGTCCGGCGGTGAGACCGCGCCCCAGTACTTGTACGCTGCGTTTCTTGTGATTACACACCACGCCGTCACTACTGTCAGGTGTTGCCGACCAGTGGGCCTGCCTGATCTATATGGCCCTCCCGCACATACGATCGGAGATCCCTGATTTTCACCACGAATGCGACATGTAGTGTAGCCTACCTCCAACAGCGTCATGGAGGTTCAAGGAGTAATAGGACCCTCATTCAATCATTCGATACCAAGGAAGTCGCTTAATCATCAAAGTACGGAGATTCACAACACTCCCCGTTCAAAGCACATATTCTATGTGGGTACGATGAGGATGGGCGACTACTGTAGCCTGCTTGCGCGAGTCCTTGGGGGATATCTGGACTGTGATGAGATTCTGACGTAGGCCCAATTCTTGTTGACCCGGATGGAGAACAGATTTGAACGTTCCGACAACAACATAAGCACACAAACAAGCAATAGACTACCGAGAGAGGAAAAGGACAAAATAATGAGGTTGTTCGTGCCGTTTCGACGAACGGTGAGATGTCACGGGAAGGTCGCTCATGTTGGTTCGATGTCTCGTCATGCATACTCGTCGTCTTCGTCATGGGCTACAAATTTCATTGTGTGGTGATGGATTCCTACCCTACCCTTGTCCTTGCTCCATCATTTTGCTGCGTTCTTCTTTCCTTTCTCTGACGCCTCCGACACTCGATGCGGCATCGTAAGACCGGCACAGCTTAGTCCGCTTGGCCTCCCGCGGCTACGGTGACGAGCGATTAGGACATCCATGTCAAGGAACATCCTCATCACCCTTGTCCGCACGTGATTGAAAAAGAGGTCTCGCTCCAAAGAAACTTGCTGAGGTCCACGCAATCTCGAGTCCTCGTTGTTTACGGCCCCGTTACTTTCTTTACGCTAACTTCTCTAGGCTACCTCTGCCATTGACGAACACGCACAATCACGACCAGCCTTCCGACAGAAAACCTAAACTACCATATCGAATAACTGTTGCTCAGCCTACGTGTTCCTCAAAGTTTTTGGGCCGTCGTCACACAAACAAAAACTCATCGAAGAAATTAAACTGAACCGTGTCTCTTCGATGCCCCCATCCACATGCCGAAATATCGGGCAACTTTTTCCAAGCAAACAGCGACTCTTTCTACAATACTCAAGACACTACTTGTTGCCATCCAATTGTAAATTTCCATTGATCGAAAATATTTTCCAAAAACGGTGGACGTGCGCGCGGTAACTTGGCAGGAAGACACGACGTATATATACAAGGAGGAACTACCCATCCAATACCTCTCCCCGCAAGGCTATCGAACGGGAATCATAAACCCTTTAAAAAAGGGTTGATTTAAAAAAGGTCTACTGCACCCCAAACGTCCCTGCAACCCTTTCCCGAAAAAAAAAAATAATACCATCCCTCCAGAAGTTTGTCGCAAACGTTTCGCGACGGTTTTCGCCTCGATCTCTACGATTGGTTACCGTATTCGCTGGGGGCAGTGGTGACGCCAGCAGGGCAGCCAGCGACGCGCTTGGAGCACAACCGTCACGACAATCTCCACCAGGATGAACCACGTAAGAATGTACGAAGCGAGCATATCGTCCACAGTATCCTGCATCACGGAGGACCGAACGCTCGGGGGTGAGCGACAAGATATGCCAAGGGCGTAGTGGCCACAACCATACCCCTACAAATGCCCCGGAGAGAATCGAAGTACGTCGTGTTGGGTTAAACAAGGTGCATTCCTTTCGCGGCATGAATCCGGCCACAAACGTAACCCGCATACGAAAAAAAAAAACAGCATTTGGGATACAGCGACCTCTCTGGTATCCCCCCTATTCTGACCAACGGCTATCGTAACAACGCACTCTTGTTGACGATTGGGTGATTCACCATGATTCGGTCGCAGGAAGGAATTTTTCAGTACCCTTGGCCTAGAGCGCTCGTAAAGATAGGTACAAGCTTCTTAGCAATAACTCGGCTCACCATGATATCGTCGCAGGCAAAATTCACGTTCTGTGCAACGTCCACATGAAGATCAACACTGTGGCCCTTTCCGCTGAGATGTCGTTCGAAACAAATCAGAACCAGGACAACGTGGTGGCAGCAGAGTGGAGGATTCAGATACGTAGCGTGTGATGACAACGTGGAGCATGCCAACGGGAAACGCACGGTAATTGAGCAACTGCTCTCTGTAGAAACGGCAACGGCGCCACCTACAAAATAAAGGTCCGTGCACCATCGTTCGTGTCCACCCTCGTGGCCACCCTTCAGTGACCACTTCATGTGCTGGTGTCTTGCACTTACCTGCCAAATGTCCGAAGTTCGGGTGGCACGACATCCGCCCCTACTACATTGTTCGGTACTCACCAGAGACAGTCGCCGTAGGAATAGCGTAGGTCGATGAAGTTCTCCACGCAATAGTCGTAGTCGTTAAGGCAGCCGTACACTGACGTTCGTTCACGTATTTTTGGAGGAAGGAAGGCCAAGGCACACAGCGCACGTATCGCCGGCGCAGTGGAGGGGGGAAGAGGGAGGGATAAGAAAAACAGTCAACCCCAACGGACCGAACAAATCTTGGCTTGTACGGCTGGCACACTGTCGTCATGCGGAAGCAATGCTGACAATCTGGGCGCTGATTTCGACGGCGGTGGTACGTGCGATGTCAGGTTCCCCCTGATAAACTGGCGGATGCATGTTTGCACTGACCAGTCCATGGAGTGGGTGCAAAGTATGCATTTTCGCCACAGAAACGTGCATCGCTGTTATCTTGTCAAAGAAAAGAGGACAGACATCTCAGGTCGTCTACATGCCAGACCCTCCCTCCCTCCCGCCTGAGGCGAACGAGCACTCAACAATAGCTCAACGATCTGAATCTCACTGGCACCTGCGATTTGGTCGAAGCTCCTTGTTACGCTGATCACGACGGTTATCACCGCCCAGACAATCATTGTCCAGGTAGCGATTTCAACCCCTTGCCCCGCCTCCGCCATCAGGGTCACCATGACGGAGCAGGCACCGACACCGTAAGCTAGGAACCCGACCACCGGATCTCCCGCGGCCATGTAGTAGCTCTCATCTAGGATCTCAATCCCCTGTTACACGTGTAACGGATCAGACACGCGCGTGCAAGCTTAAGGAGTCACCCTGGAGACGGCATGGCGTGTGCGCTCCCTCCAAAAAATACCGGGAATTGCACAAGCGTTCTCTCGCAGCAGGGCTGATTATTGCTGCCAAGTGCTACCCGTTCTTGGTGTATCGTACGCTGTTCTATCCTACAGGTTCTCGCCTTTCTTCGAATCATGGACGCCAGCCACGCCTGCGTGCCCGCCGTGACGAACAGGAGCAGTCCCATCGCCAAAAGGAACCACCAGGAGCGGCTCTTATCGGGCAGTCGGCGGGTCTCCACTGGTCGTCGTACACTGCTACGACTGCGGTGGTTGCTCTCTCTTCGAGGGAGAAGTAGCGGGGCCGAGAAATCGTCTCCGCTACCTTCGCTTGCTGGGGTTTGGGGCCGAGCGCTACTCATTGTCTATGGCCGCTGCGTTCGGGGATAGGGACACACAAGGAGTAGCAACATCATTGAGGGCTATTCGTTCGGATGGCAATTTGGTTGGAAGGCGCGCTCTTGCCAATATCATAAAGATACTACATACCGCACAAGGCTTGTGGGGGTTAGGTGGCTTGCCTCCCGGGGCGACGCAAGAGGACATGGCCAATGTCATCACGGTTGCATCGTTGCGCCTCAGCATTCGGTAGTGCCGGATTTCCGTACAACCTGCGGAATGTGCGTCATGTGCGGGTTGGCTTTTCGGTAGACCGTGACTTTTTGCGTGTGCGTGAGTGCGTGCTGTTAGGCTAGCGGCGTTTTTGCCGCAGATCCTACTGCTGTAACCCGCTGCGTCCGATCGCTCGCTCTTATGTATTTGTCCGTAATGCTCATGGTCTGCGGGAACGCGTGCATGCGTTGGACAAGAACGAAAAGTCTTCCTATTCATGCAAAATAAGTTTTGCTTATGGTGCGAACGTTTTTTGGTTCGGAATAGTACACCTCCTGGCGACTTTGAGCCAGTCGAGGTAACTTTGGGCGTCGATTGCACCCCGTGCCACGGATGCCTGGCGGTCCCTGGGCAGGCGCGGAAATGTTACGACGAGCCTCCGGCGTGCCCCTGAGAAGAAACCGTGAGAAACACTCGTTGCCATAAGAGGAAGTTGGGCCGAAGCACGATAAACATCGAAATGATACATGTACATATACGACACAAGGTAACACACCCCGGGGGTGACATATTGCCTCTTAAAAACATACCACAAGGTGCTGTATTCTGTTTGTGTGGGGGTGCCATCTTGCGTAGCCCGGGCGATACAGTGTAGGTCGAGGGAGCAATGGAAGGAGGCGTGATAACCAAGGACGTTTGGTAGAATACCACTGCCGCACACTTGCACGGACCGAAGTAGTGTGGAACCTGTAAGGGTGTGTGTTAGCACAGCCTACAAAGAATTACGTACTACCGTGCCAGCGGCCACAAGTGCAGAGGGTGTCGTATTGAGGGGGTGTAAGCAAAAAAAATACCTACGGCTGAAACACTTTTTGCGGTGTGTGTGCGGGGGTGATAGGACTGACAACACTGCTTACAGTCCAGTTCCTGCCCAGTCGCGTGGAAATGAGGGGGGGAGTGATGGCAGGAGGTGACCATCTCATCCCCCCGGAGATGAATGCCAACTGCGCTTCCTCGACAAGAGCGAAAGAAGGTGTTGGAATGTAATGAAAAACAACTCTCCGTTCCTTACTACCACCTGGCACCAAAGAGAGTACGCCAACAAGGCGGGGGAGAGGTAAACGTTCGTACGTTGCAGTTCTCACCCATACAGCGTGGTTTCCCCGACTGCAGTGTATTGTATGTCCCGCATTGTGTGCTGTGTGTCATCACCGGCGTAATGGAATAGTAGCATGGGCTCAGTGATTTCATGCGTCCTAACCTCAGGGTTTGATATCTTGTGTAACCTGGGAGGTGTTTTGGGCTCCTTGTTTGGGATCCAAAAATATAAAATAGCACAGGGCGTTGAATTCTGTGGGGGGTATCTTATGTGCGTGTGATATCTTGTGTCGCATACGGTACGGGTACACGACAGGTCAACGAAGGTCGCCCCAGCAGTGTCTCCGCGGGATGCACATGTTGAAATCCCACCGTGTACTGCAGAGACCAAGAGCCCCTCTTGTCGTGAGGTGAGAAATCGGCTCGTTGTTCTACAGGGCAGAACCCGATGCCTCCTTTTAAGAGGTGTCCACTTTCGTGTGTTCATGCAACCCAAGCCAGGCCAAGGCGACCGACCACCCACGAGAACAAGTAAAGCGTACAAAAGCATACAATAGCAAGCACTTGGGCAATACAATGGGGAAAAGGTACCGTAGAAAGCACTTGGGCTACACAATGCGTAAAGTTTTCTTGGTGAATACAGCAGGTGTGATGTTTCTGGATGGCAGCATCAAATATGTCACGGTGTGTTGGGGTCACAGCAGTAGAGAGTGCTCCCTGTGGTGGGCCGTAGAAATAAGGCTAGTCGCCGGTGAAATCGGGTGAAAGACATGGAACAGCAAAATCCAACTTGTGCCATACTCTGGACAGTGTCGGGTGCCCGGTATAAGACAGGCCAACTCCCTATTCGGTCATGAACAAGGGCCCATGCTAAAATCGCTTTTTGCTGGCATTAAGACGTTGTTGTAAGGGGGAAAGTCTTCAGTACAAAGTGTGAGCGAGACGCGGCGAGCTGCAGGCAATATAATAACCCTTGGCCAGGTGCAGAAGGGAGTAAGTACCCTACAGCACAAGCATGTCCTACGTCTGTCATAGCCGATGCTGCTTACTGCTGGTGGATATAAAATAGGCTCGTATGGTTTACGGCATGGCACGTATAGGCGGCGCTCCTGTAGACTAGCCTGATAGCACGTGTTCCGCCTTTCAAACGGCGGCCTCCTCTGTCCTGTGCCTACGTTCTCTCGGCGCAGACGGAAACCGACCCGGTGGTGAAGACGGTCTAAATTTTTCAAACAACAAGGTAACACAACGGCGGAGAAAGTTCCAACGACAAAGAATAAAAGTCAAGACAATGGACCGAGTTTGTCCATAGTACAGCTGTGGTGGCCGTCGGGAACGACAATATGCCAGGCACGCCTGAGCTTCTGCTTTTTTGGGACAACACTGCTGTAACTGCTGTTACCGAACAAAAAGCGCGGTGGAATGATTGTTACCTCGGCGAGCGTGTTTTCACATTCAACACGAAATACACAGCCAACCGAGGCAGATCTATTGAGGTGTGTTCAAATCGCTACAGCACTAAATGATACCACAGCAGTACACTGCTGTGGAGGTACAGCGTACAGAGCCATGTCGCCTGTTCACGGCATGGATGGGTTGCGTAAGTCTTACAATACATTGAAGGTGTCCGCGTACAGAGTATGTGTGTTCTGTATGTGTACAGTAGGATATGCATATGTACATGAACGGAAGCCAACGGCGAACAAGGCTTGTGCATACAAGCCTCAGCGTTCAACCTGTGGACTGCTGTACAACCTCAAGTCTACTGTAGTCTACGCTCTGCAGCAGCAACTGCTTGCCGGGTGATGTCAGCGCCCGCCCGTGCGTGTAGACTACACGCCGATTCGCTGATCGTCGAGGTCTAAATGCAATTGCGACTCTCTTCCCATGTCGGCATGGTGGGTTTTGGGATAACGATACTGCACGTACAGTAGTGCTGTTCGAGAAAGATGGAACGCGCGGTCCTGGTGCAGTCTATACGGCCGCGGCAGCAATGCACATGTCACATCACCTCACACACACGCTTTGGTGTAGCAACGCTGCTGCCGTAGACCGTTAGCCCTCGAGAGGCCCCATGCGTTCAAATCGCTGTAGCGGTAAAAGAACAGAGCCGTCTACCGTAGCCGGAGAGGCGTCGGCCTCCTTTTCACGGAACGTGGTCATGCAGAGGCAGTCAAGATGACCCAACACCCCCATGTCTAATAAGTTCGCTCATGTCCTCGTTACACTCGCACTCGCCTCCTCCAAAAAGAGCGCTCGCCCCGGGCCTGCTTCTTCTCCGTCCTAAAAAACCGCCTCGTGTAGCTTTTCAGGTAATTGGCATCCACGCAGCAGCACCGCGACTCCACCTTCTCTCCAATGTCTCCACCCACCCTCTCCTCGTATGTTTGCTGCCCCACACCCAGCACGTCAAGATCTGCCTCCTCAGCTGCAGCTTCGCAAACGGGGGGCCGGTAGGGGGCACGCAGACAGGAACAACGAAGTACAACGGCTGTGTTGCTGTCACTGCTGCTGTTTGCGACTGCACCTGCCGGGACTGTCAAGTTGCCGTTACCGTGTTTGCCGTACTCCCCAGGCACTGACATAGGCCTAGCCCTATTGCTTGCGAATCGACCGGATGAGCTGCGGTTGGCGAGATCGGGAATGTGTTCTGGTGGACCATACCATGCATGTGCATAGGACGGAGCTGTTTTTCTTTTTTTTTCCAAGATGCAACTACTCTATCTAGGACGAGAGATGGCGAGAAATTTCATGCATGCAATGCATGACGACAATTTCTATCCACACCCACAATATCTAAGTCTCAGCAGGTGTGAGGCTGATAAACATCCACGATCTGGTCAGGCGTAGAAGATCCTTCCACACACCGGTTATTGCTGTAGCTCACCTCTGTAATCTGGACTTGGACGGGCCGCGCTGAAACTTTTACACACAACACCTCAACGAAGGCGACGACGGCATTGATTGAGTGCGAAGGAGGAGGAGGAGGAAACGTACGAACATTCATGCATGTATGTGTGTGCGGGAGGCGGGGGAGAGACCAGGAGAGGGCGGGCATAGATGTGGAAAAGGTGGCAGCCAATTTAAATATTACAGCAGTGAGTGAGATAAAAAGAGCGGAAGGATACTGTAGGGAACTACAGCAGTATGCACTGCGAAAACAACGCACGAACCGTGACGGAGTCCGGCATTTTACTTGTCAACGCTTTTCGGTTTTATTCGCTCGCCCTCTTGCGTGTCGAGTGGGAGCGATGGGTTCTCTACCTATGTTTACATTTTCTAGTATATTCCTCCTGTGCCGTCTAAGTTGCGACGTCTGACGGTCTGTGGCCTGTATGTTATGGTTGTCTGGTGTTACTCGTTTAGATCACGGTATACTGCTGTGGTATGTAGTCTAGTCTTAAATACTTCACAGAAACAACATGTCGGCGAGCCGCCGTGAGCTACGTAGCTGTTCGTCGATAGCTAGAAGTCAGATCGCAGGACGAGGGGAGCTGTGTGATCAGTTTTTGTTTGGGTGACCCCACGGCGGTCCAGCAGCGGACTTCTGTGTACTTTCCTTTTTCTCGTTTCCTTGAACACTGCCGATTTGAATATGCACGACTTATTCGACAAGTATCATCCTTGGGCAATCCACGGGTTCGAGAGAGAGCAAGCTTCTTAGACGATGCGTCGAACGGCAGTTATGACTGATGGGGTACAGAGTTCATCTGTTTAGCCCTTAGCTGTTGACAACTGTGTCGTTGCCCATGCATACGCATACCTGTAGAGGAGTCCTCTCACAAGAAACATGACAAGGTTGCGGGAGCGGATTCTAGACTTCTTTTTTTTTTCTCCCATCATTGGATTCTGTCGTCTGCCCCTCTGGCCCCTATCCTCCGCTTCTACTAGCTAGACGACCCACCCGGGGTCACATAGGAGGGGGGGGTTGGACCCCCTCCTGCAGTTCCTGCCTGAGGTATTTTTATCGCGAGAAGGGTACAGCAAAATCCCTTCCCTCGCGACTTATGAAATCGATCGAGTTTACTAAATAACAACGAGCTTCGCAGCGCGTCGCTTCCAACTTAGACCAGGATTTATTCAGTGAGAAATATACTCACTTTGCCGGGACTCGAACCCATGACCTGGCCCTTAGTAGGCTGCGAGGTTGCCCACTAGACCACCGGGGCGACCGGTGTGCTAGACTCTCCCCGTCCCGTCCCCGTCCTTCCGTGTTAGGGTCAGCGAGAGCTGTGTACGACCTCCTCCCAAGCCCACGAATAAAATTTTTCCGTCAGTGGGTGATGACGATGGTGATGAATGCTGTTCCAGGTTCCAGGGTATAGCATCGTCCACGAAACCGACGGATCTACTGTATGCCAGAATCAATCAGCAAACCTCCCCAGTAGACTAGTAGTGAGCATATTGGAGAGGATCGTCCAAATCGCCGTGGAACGCCTCGTCTCCAACTCGCTTGGGAAACTTGGTTCGGATTGTGCTTTCGGTGCCCAGATTGTTCCATTCGAGGAAGATCGTGATAGCCCCGCCGTTGGTTCGACCGGCAACGTTTCGGGGTGGCCTCTTCGACGACGGCAGTGACTCCTGAGCTGCCCTGCCCAAGTTGCGCAACCGTCGTGGAAATATCGTCTCTTCACGCTTCTCACGTATCCTAAATTCTCGTCACCACCTAGCGGTGATCCTGCAGATGAAGGTAGGAGTATTAGCGTCCGCTCTCTCCAAACACCCAACGACCGTCGTGTTTTTCAGCGGAACCGATTTAGGCGTGGGGGGCGGTTTTCCCACGACACTTACGAACTAGACCCAAGGGTATGATGTCATGTTTGAAAATACAACCAGTGGGAAGTGCCTTGACGCTGACCAGAGTTCGAAAAGTGCCCATACGGTCGACCTTGATTAATTTTGTGGTTTTTTTCACCCAAGAGGTTTGGAAGAATACGTACCAGACCGTGGGATGTTCCACGAAATGCGGCCTTAGACTACACATACATGTACAGACGACACATACATGAGGACAACTGTACAACCTCCTACCCACGCAGTGTTGAACTCAATATTCGATTCAACACAAACATTGCCGACGCAAGTTTTGGGCAGTTCGGGGTTGGCTCTACGCGGGGCCATCGTCTGCTAGTAAACGCCTTCGCCAGCCGCACGGTATCTAGCTACATTTAGAGACCTCGCCGTCTGCAACCATTGCAGCCTATCACTCCCCGGAACAACCCGAGGTTCGAGCAACATCCTTCAATGTGCAATTGATCCCTCCGTCGTCTATCAGCCGGTCGGTACAGAATAGAGGATTGCCGTGTTCCCAAGAGAACTGACTCATTACCAGCACACTTGGATCAAAATCAGATGAGTTGCGCTACAGCGGTCCAACTTCTAGATAGCTTCTTGGGAGGCCGGCCCCCGAACACTTCCCCGGCTTGCAAAACCTGTCCGCTAAGCGTGGCGCTCCCGGCCGTCAATGTTGATCCAGCCCGCATCTCCGTGCAAAAGCTCGCTGTGTGGGCGTGTACAACCGCACGCTCACCTGGAGAAATACCCAATTGGCACATGTCCAGCGTGTGAAAACATATGGCCAGGGCAAGGGAGAAATGTGATCGCGGTTGTCAACTACGTGAGCATCCGCATGGGCGCTTTGTATTTTCCGGCGTTTGCGGTCAAGAGTGTTTGCTCACAAGATATTCGCGTGGTAACACATATTTCCACGGCGGTTACCTGGTCTTGAAGGGAACCAGCATTTTCTTTTCCAGGTTGGCAATACACCAGTAGCCCCGAATTTTCAGCCCGATTGAAACGTGACGGCATCAGTAAAGTGAGTGCACGCCGCTTGTACCGTGTCATTCTTCAAATAGTCTGACTGGCAGAGATCTTGTCGGCGTGCTCTCAACAACACAGACTTAAGAGGGGCCGGGAGAATATTTGCAGCAACCGAAATTTACTGCTACACATTCCAACAGGAGAAACGAAAACTTGAGCTTATGTGACCTACCCGTTCAGTAAACACCCGATAATAGGACAGTTTTATCCTCAAAGGTACATCTATTATGTGTTTCGTTCCCGTTTTACGACGACCGTGTGGAGTGTTGCAGCCCTACCAAGCCCCCCCCCCCCGAAATGATTTATCGTGTGTGGGATTTACAGAACATAGTACGATCAAGGGAGCTAAAGGCGGCGGGGTGGGGGGTATACGGAGTGGAATGAGTCGAAGCTCTCTCAGATATAATCCGGACGCTTCGTTCGCAAACCAAGCAATCTGCGCCGACATACCTACAGAAGCAGGCGCCATTTCCAGGGACCAGACTCCGTCGATAAATGTGACGCAATGCCCATAGAGAACCCCAGCAACTATGGACCCCCTGCAAACCTGCGTGGCGTGGGGGCGGGCACGTGAGTAGAGGATGGGGGCGAACACAGGCGTCGTTGGGAGACAACAAGGCGATACTGAAGGCTTTGCCCAAATTTTGCCATGATTGATGATGTTCCACCGTGTGTGATAGCGCTCACGTTCCCGCTAGGCACAACGGTACCATCACCCGGAGTCTGACGTCACTGCACTCTGCCCTACACAACCAACCGCCTACCTTCACCATGCCGTGGTCTGCCACCTTGCCTAGAATCAGGGCGCTCATGGAAACGTCTGCACCCATGAGCCTTAGCCAGACGTTGAGGAGCCACGTTCCTCTGAGGACGGTGTTGAGAATGTGCGTCTCGAATACAGAGAAGTATACGACGCGATGCATCCACCGCCACCGCATACCCTGCGAAGCCGTGAGCTTGTTCGGCTTCCGCCGCTGGGTTTCTTGCTGCCCTCCGCCCGACCCTCTCTCGATGTCTGTTGTACGTAGCCCAACTTGGGCGGAGAGTTCATCTCGTAGGCCTATGCAAGAACCGGGAGCAACGCGGCTGGAGATGGATGAGTTGCCATGGAATCGGTACACTGTGACACGGGATCGGCGGCTCAGGCCGCCACACATCGCGACTCCATGATAGATTAATGGATCGGGTGCGACTGAGAAAAGGAAGGCCAAGTGACTGGAAGGAAAGAAGTGTTTGCGTAGGGTGGGGATGTCTCCACGATGAGTTGCAGAGATGACGTGTTTCGTGACGCGGGGCAAGTCTCCAACTGAAGGGTTGGGTGTATAGAAGGAATACCGGACTTCTGGCAATGCATGAGTACGACACGACGGTGTCCCTGGTTCCAGGACAAAGCAAGTGGGAAATATTGTGATGCAAGTTCTCGTTTTGCGGTATACCAAGTACAACTTACGACACGCCAGTGCGGTGGTAAATCTCTTGTGAGTAGAACCGACATGCTAAAGGGCGCCTCCCCCAAATTGGTCACATGCTGCTACTGCCGAAGAGCGTAGAGGCAAACCATTATCGACAACAATGTCTATCGTCCGCGTTGAGAAAGAACACAAACAAGAAAGACTCCATGCGAAAGACTGCAAACACCAATGTATAGATTGCAGAAAAAGACCTTGTGCCATGGCCCATCACGACTCACTCACACAAAATGCGAGTCATCGAGGCAACGTACGCAAAGGCATACATGCACAAAGACGACGTGGGTGTTGAATGCGTTTTCATCTCGCTGTGCTTGTGACGTCAATTGCCCGCCTTTCATGTACACCGTCTGCACGTGGAACGAGGGCTTGGCGAACGGTGACCACGGCGTTCAGGTTCGGGATATTGTTCGTGGTTCTACTGTACCCGTGCGTGCCGTTGTCCAGGGTTGCGATGCAGGGAAGGTTTGTATCGTGTCAAAAGCGTGAAAGTCGATGATGGCATTCTACATAGAAAACCACACGATGCCAGTCATCGCCTCCTCCACCAAGCGTTGTTTTTCATCACATTCCGGTAACTGCGTACATGGAGACTGACTGGCTTGCTTTCGGAACAATTTACGTACATTCCGGGACAAGGCTGGACACCACGTCAATACCAACGTCGGGAGAAAGCGAGCTGCCGCACCTCTCTCGGAGAGAATCGAGCAGTAAGGCGAAAGGTGAGGCATTTCGGCTACAATAAACAATTAAATCATCAATTCAAAACGTTGTATTCATCTTAGTCCAGTGTCACTACTGCGTACCTTCGGGAAGCATCCTGCAGAAGTCGCCGACGAACACCCACTTGAAGACAGCAAGGAGCACAGCCGAGGCCAGTGCCCACACGACCAAGGCTACCGTCGAAAGCACGGCAACCCTCGTGTCGAAGGAATCGCCTTTCGACCACAACGATGCCGCTAGCTTGGTCGCCTCAAAAGATGCCACCAAGGCCAGGATGTTGAGGGAGCAAGCCCCCACGGTGCACGCTCCGTCGATCAAGTTCGCCTTGACAGCGTCGCCGGGATCTTCAACGGCGGAGTACATACAAACGGGGCTCGTGGTCAAGAAGCATCTTACACCCTTGCCTCCTATCGCACGGAAGATTATGATTACACAACAGATTAACACTTTCAAGTTTTTGCTGAGGAGGCTGTGTCGTTTGCGGTGTAGTAACACCACACCAACTAGCCTGTAGAACGTTGTTCTACGCACCAAAGCCGTTGAGACTGCTGTACTACACTATCACAACTCACCTTCATGGACATCGCTTTGTGTGGGCGAGGTGTGGGCAGCACCACGAAGTTGGAAGGCACTCTGCTGGTCGCACATCGTCACCGATCCGTCGGGGAGATGTTCTCCAGGCCTTAGCTTGGAGTACCCACCAAGCTGGACGGAACACATGGTCGACAAGAGACAAACGGCCGCTGCAAGTGATGCACGTGGAGAACGCGAACAATTTAAACGCTTTCATGCAAACAGTGTACCATCGAAGCATGTGGAGGCACGACATAGGTTCACCTCTAGATCGACTGCAGATCGAGGATGCACAGGTAGAAGCTCATATCATGCAAAGCCCGCTGGAGCTGTCGGAGGGGGGGAGTTTAGACCAAGTCACGTCCAACACAAGGACGCTGTGTCAAGAAGTCGAGCATGCAAGCCGTGACCAAACCGAACGCAAACGTCAATCAACGTTGACTTGATTCACCATTGCATCATTGCCGACGGTACAGCCGGCGCCAAGGTGTGCCCTGAACCCGACTAATGCCTTCGACCCGATCACTATTGCCTTCTTCTCTCGTTCAGCGCCACGTCCGGTCGGCCGATCGACGGAGAGAGCCGGGGTACCGACGTGTGCTCCGGAGCCAATCTGGAGAGCGATGGTCATGAATGGGCAGGTACATTGGGTGTACTGCAAGTACATGTCAAAGACAGGCTTCGCAAGGGGAAGAGGGGTGCAAAATACCTGCGCTGTCGCAAGTGCTCACGGGGCCAGCCAACAAGCGCAGCGTGTGCTAAATACACCCTACTTCCCCCCAAATAACACACAGAAACGAGCCCCGTGGGCGATACAACATGTATGTTTCAGGGGGGCGTACGTTGTGACTGAATGTAGAGATATTGGTCCGCGAAACTCGATCGCCAAGGGGGTCGCTAGGAGCTCGTCGGTTTCAGGCCCCATCTCACCAAAACCAAGTGTGCGTCCTCCGGGTTGTACCCTTGCAGCAAGACGACCGACCCACGCCCCACTTTCACGCCAAGGGCGGCCGCCCACCACTCGTATCTCGGACACCTGCCATCCAAAACGAGGGTTAGGGAGGTAGGACGGGGGGGCGTCGAACTTAGGTAAGCGGTAGCAGCAATGTGCTCAGGTACCGAAACAGGTGGAGGCACAGGTTGCGGTGATCGCGTCGCGGGGCCAGCGCTCGAGTTACGATAGGTGTGCCTCGGAGGAAGATCGTGGACAGCATCGGCCGTGAAACCTCCAAAACTGTGGGAATAAAGGTCCGGGTGATGTTGTAGTTGGCCAAAAGCTGTCTTCAAACCCAATTATCTTAGGGCTTGTGTGAGCGTCTCAGATGAACCGAGCACGATGTGCCTTCTTGTGGACCGAGGAGGCCTTCACCATCTTTGGAGAGGCGATTTCCGAAGGATTGACTCACATGTTGAAGGGGTGCAAGTAGGCGAATACAAGCGAGTTAAGCCTGCCGAGGTACCAGCGTCGCCAGGTCTGGAAGACGGTGGGCTGGTAGGAGCCCTCTGTCACCCGACCTGCCAGTATTCATCGTAGCGAACAACGAGGAATTCATCGTAGCGAACAACGAGGAATGCGCCATACGTACCTTTCAGACCTGTGTCGAGGGGACCGTTTGCTCTTTTGTTGTCTTCGGCAGGTTGGTTCTGAAACGGCGAAATGACGCCCGTGATGCAAACAACAAGGGTACGATATTTTGCCAACGATAGGCAGGCAGTCTGGCAGGGAGGAACCGAGCAACACAGTACCGTGACCTGCGGGCCGGGGGTATCCCCGAAAGTACAAAACTAAAATTGTTAGACTTCGCAGGACGTGATGAAAGAGACCGCCGTAATCTATACCCCTTGTTCAGGCGTGTATACATGTACGGAATGACAACTGCTTCCCAGTTCCTTCTTCTCCTCGTCAAAGGCGTTCTTCGTCTGGATCCCGACCGTTCCGTAACGTGTTCCATTACGGGTAAGGAAAACGTACTCACAACAAACATTGTTCCCTGCGGGGTGTGGCTCTGCTCGGCGGAACCTTCCACTGCGGGCGGGAGGGGTCAGCAGTTTCACACGCTGAGGCGTTTCAGGTTACCGCTATACTATGATGATGAAATCTGGCGACGCCGTTAGCATTTCGTGCTCTCAACCGTGCTAGTTGCCCGCCCCAGTTCCAACCAAGTTTTGCTCGCACACATGTCCATATTTTAGCGTCACTGCGAGAGGTCACCCCAACGTGCCTGCGAGAGCCCACTTGAGCAAAACAGTGTAGAGAGCGAGCTGGCTCGGTACTCCGGCGACGAGAAAAACGATCTTGACCAGGACCGCGTAGCGGAAGTTCCCCGATAGGCCGGTAGACTCGTACAGGATGGTCGGGATGTAGGTCATTGTCGTCATAGCAATCATGGTGCAGAGGATCGAGAACAGCTTCACCAACTGATGACGCCCGCCGGGGTGAGAAAGGGGTCAGGGGACATCAGTTCTTGCCTTTCGTGGCAAGCACAAGGCATGGCGCAAACCACGGTCGTGGTAAGGATTGACCTGCGGCAAAGCACCTACTTTTGGTACGACCATCGAGTGACACCACCCTTTCTTTCCCAGGGGCTGATGCTACCGGTGCTACCGACTGGTGAGTGCAAAAAAGGAGCTGACAGAGGACCAAGCATGAAGAATGAGGAAGTTGAGCCCGTCACTTCTTCCGTGCATTTCTCCCGCACAACTTTCGTTTCCTCTGCAACATCGCCCACTGAAATCAGGATGGACAAAGGTCCACTCATTCGACACATTGTTTACTTCATTCACAATGCTCTCAGCTTACCTCGATCAGACAGGGTACGGCGACACATGGGCCAGGGACATCCAGCGACAAGCTGCCATGGGCTGCCCCACCCTTCTTCGTTTCCTTGGCAGGGTGACCTTCCCAAGTGGAGTGTGGCTGAGTACGGGCACACCGGGCGAGCCGAACACAGGCGTAGGCGGGAGAGCTGGTAATGCAACACTGACGTCCTGAGACAAAACAAGCACGCTCATAGGGCGTTTTGCCGGTGGCTTGAAACGTGCAACCATCTCAAGTGGGCGCCTATGTGTTGTGGTGATCCAGAACCAATCATGCAGGCGATCCTTCCATCGTGTACGAATCTTCGCTCTCGAAACATACGGGGCGCATCTGGAACTACACAAAGTGCGTCCGTCTTTACCACGATGAAAGGTTGAGTTGAACCAGAACATTTCCGGACAACCCATCATGCGAGAACATTGACCGTGCGTCGACTCACCGCAAGCTTCGAAAGCGGCGGAATGACGGTAAGGGGCTCGACGACACTGGATCGGACATCCCACCGAAGAGGTCAAAACACACGGGGCCGGCGCGGCCATAACAAGCAGAAGCGGGAGGAGAGCATGTCAGAATCAAGATAGAGGGATAAACTTGATTTCGTCGACACAGTTGTGGATGTTGAAGCGTTCCAGCACCAGAGGGTCTCGCCGAAACGAACTTCTTTCTGCTGCAGCGGCGCTGAGGGCGTCAAGACCCAATGGTCATACATCATCGGTTCCTACCAACGGCGAGAAGCGTCGAGGATTCAATTTGTTTTGGGCGAGAAATCAACACGTACACAATGCTGTGATATTATGAGGACGCCTGGTTTCCACCCGTGGGCAAGCTCGTGAAGGGCAGCCCAAGTCCCAGAAACACCACGTCTGTCGTACGAGTGAACAACCAAGCTTTTTATGACCATTGGGTCAAGTTGCCGCTGAAGCTTCCCTTGTGGTGATAGTTGCGGGAAGGAAGGAAGACCTTTCTCCTCGACACATCTCACCAATGATCCCCGACGCTTGCCCCTCCGTACACCACGGACCCGGTCCTAATGTCCGCGCCTTTACCAATCATGATGGGCTTGACGTCCATGTAAGAAGACTCAAACCGCCGGACGTACAGGTTGCCACCCACATTGGCTCCAGCCTGAACGTCCACGGAATCGAAGTCGCGAACGAAGACGCTGATGCTGGCAGTCCAGGCAATCTGCAAATGCGGTCGATGCGTGTGTGTGTGTGCCAGGGCTGAAGCTTGGAGTGCGGGCGCGAGGCGCGCAGATGGTCCCAACGATGTTATCTAGCCAACGATACCGCGAGAAGGGATGCCTCCCGATGAAGAGCTTTCTGCACGAGGGTGAGAACACTGTCAAGACGGGAGCCAATCAGAAAGCGTGGTTCTCTCACCTTTGCGCCCATGCGGCGATAAATGAAGATCATCAGCTTGGTATCGAGCAACCACGCTCCACCGACGCATTCCCAGACATTCAGCATGGTGTTCATGTACCACCAGGAGAGATACGCCCGCGTGCCCAGGGGGACGCGCTCTTCGGGGTGCGCGCCCAGCAGGAGCTTTGTCACCACAATGATGGCGGTGAAACACGTGAACCATATGATCGGCGAAAGCACTCCAAGAAGCCCAAGGGCCTGCACCTTGGACGATTCTGTAGGATAGCACGAAGCAAGTTGTATGCCACACATGGGTGAGAGGCACCAAAGCACTCACAGCACGGTTTCCCACCAGTTCGATCATTCAACCGGTGGGAGAATCTGAAGCAGACGACGGCAAATTGTTTACTTCTTTCTTAGCTTAGCGTAGCGGTTGTTCGTGGTGGGATCTGAAAGTCTCGTTGCTTGCCTTGTGCTCCTTCTCCGAAGACGGGCAGATCCACGTACAGCCACGGCTCTTTGTTGTATCCCCCGAACGACGTTGTCGACGCCAAGTCGTTGAGGTGCCGCCAGTAGTGACGGGCTGGTTGCAGTGCAACAAATATCTGGAACAGGACCAATGCTAGCAGGATTGTCTGACACCAAGCGCAGTACAGTGCAGGCAGGACAGGCATAGCGTGGCGGTGGGGGGGCATGATTCGCTAACCCATCAATGAGAATGTGGACACGAACAAGTGTCCAACAACGTACGTTAGCGTCCGCACCGAGACATATATTGTCATGATGCTTTCATGACACAAATCGCGTCGGTCTGTCTACCTGGGTCAGGCGGAATGACCATCCTTGCATGGGACCCGTAGTCCACTCCTCGCCCAGGTCTCTCAGGCGAGAGCCTCCCGCGCAGTCGAAGTTGGCCGTGTGTGAGGGCGTTCGGAAGAAGCGGGCCGAAATTCTCTTGCTAACATTGCGACGTAAGCTTCACCGGCGGAGGTTGGCAGGACAGATCGGTCAGGAGAGGGTAGGAGAATCAGCCTTCAACGCTCGCGCTGGGCATCACGAGCTTAGAGTGAATTCTGACACGTACCTCCGAGCCGGAAGCCTAACATTGGGGGTTCAATGTCCTAGCTGCCAACGAGGGCGTTCCGTTCTTTCCTCCATGTCGAAATGGCTCTGACGCAACCGTATCCTGATCGTCACCTCAACTGCCCACCCCAGGCCAGAGTCAAAAACAAGCACATATCCTGCCGTTGGGGGTACCCGTGCAATAGTACTACTCCAATAATACCTAACAATTCAATCGGAACAACCTGACGTTTCACACCTGGCACGAGGCTTGGCTTCACGATTTTGAACGGCAGAGCTAATGAACTCCGCGATAAGGGTCGCCGTGGGGTGCGTGAAGACAAGCTCCTGTGGGAGCTCGCATCCGGAGGCTTCGGACAGGTCCTGCTCGCCAGAGGGTACATCATCAGAGGGCAGCGAGTCACATCGTAGGACATGTTCGGCAGCACAGGGTTTCGGACGCAGAGGCCTTCCTCGGGCCCACATTGTCGTCGTACTGGGATCGACAAACGCGCGAGCGAAGTAGAAGGTCAACGCAATCACTCATCCAGACACCCCACCGTTATCGTGTGCTTAAGGGGGTCGTGTCTTAAGAAAAGACACAGATATCGGGCAAGCATAAGCATCCTGCTTCCGAGTGTGTGACAGCGTGTGGAAGGCCTCGGGAGCTCGTGAAAGAACACCGCCGACCACCACCACCACAAAACATTCACAAAAACAACAACAACAACAACAACAACAACAACACAACTCACTTTGCTGATCCCAACAGCCAGGAGAGAGTCAACTCCGAGGTCTAGCAGGTCGTCGGACTCTTCAACCCCTTCAACCCCGGTGGCCTGAAAAAAGGGCAAAATAGCAAAGGGACCGTTTCGTGACCACCGGCAAGATTTTCCTCTGTCGCAACATGTTCCACCGTTTCTGAAACTGTTGAACACAACCGATCGGAGCGACTCGAATCAATGATAGTCATGAAGACTCGGAACGGCGACAACCTTGTACAACGCTCTATGATATACCGATGGATTTTGCATGTGCATCGCCTCAGTTTCAGCAAGGGCATCCAAATCACAATGCGAGAGCCTTGGCCTTGCCGTGGTAGAATTCTTGCTTGTCCAAGCGATAGGGAAAATGAATGAACTTTTGGTAGTTAAGGTTTGCTGGCTGTGTGCTTCGATGTTTGCCATAATCGTCAGGTATTTAGGGCTTCGTGTTCCATGAACCTTCTGGAAAATGCATACCACCAACAAGGGTGGCACAAGCACAGGTGGATACACACTTCCTCCACGATGTCAATGACGTCTTTGGCGCACAGCTCGGCCGGCGGTCGCCGTTGCGGAGGTCGCGCCATCTCGTTGCTGTGAGTGTCAGCGCCATTACTCGTCTCTTGTGGGAAGGAACCCTGTTCGGGAGTACATCAACAAACAGTGACCGGAGTGAAACGTTCGTCAGTCAACACCCACTTCTGCGGCACAGCAGGACATAGCTCCGGGAGACACCAACGTCGACAAACCCGTCCAATCAAAGCGTAATAACAGACCATTCGTCGACACGCTCGTTGAGAAGCACGGAACACGGGAGTAACTCGGTATGTACCAGGACGAGCATCGACGCCCTTCGCCTCTGTGTCGTTTGCCGGCTTGGTCAGCGGGAGGGGGGGTACCCCCAGTGACGGTCCTGGTACTACTGTACTTCCGCTTTAAGAAAGCTACTTCGACCTCTCTTTCAAGAAACGCACCATCGTAGAGTGGTCGTCTGTCGTTTGCGGCGAAGGCTTGAAAGTGGACGCGAAATGCGGCGCCCTCTCTGTAGCAGGTACTGCAGGGATTTCTGTGGACGATGCCTCGCGGTCGCTCCGTACAGAGAGATCAGGATCAGCCGCTGGGACCGTTTCTGCGGGATCTAAACGAAGCTCCTGCACCACGTCTAGGTCACCCGCGTGGAGCATCGTTCGCGTCTGGCGCCGCTGAATCTTGCCGGAGGTAGTTTTCGGAATCGTTCTCTCTTGGATGGCGACCTGTAGCATGTTGTTGGGTGCACGGGGTGATGCAGCAGGGGTGGGCGTGCGCTTCGCTGGTGCAAGATTCTGGGCGTGGCGATTCTTGCCCACACGCGAACAAACCGTTCTAGCCGATCCGGCGCCTTCTTTTACCTTCTTTTACGGCGTCGGCCCATTCTTGACGATGGCTATTGTAAGGAGCTACTGCTGTGCAATCGCTTGTAATGTACCGTGGTATGTCCCTGTTCCAATACTTTACCGCAACCGATCAACTTTATGAAACAATCGCTGTGGGGTACGTGTGAACACAGATCACTGACCACCCTGGAAGGCGTGAGACCACATTCGCTGATGACGCTGCGGCGGACGGCTTCCAGCGCTTCCCTGACTGCTTGAGGATTCTTCTTGGACACGTCGCGCACCTCCATCACGATCTGTGAAGCAGCAAATGAGCCCGCTTCGATTTTGTACGATATATGTGCCCCTATAGATAAATCAAAATCACATCGACGTTGGCACACGGATTCACCAACCCAAGAAGCCGATGCGTTCGTTCCGCCATCCCCCCCTTCCCTCCACCCGCCCGAAATGTTCCAGGCATGAGCAGCACATGATGAAAACTACTGGTAATGTTCACCCCAGCACAAGAATGAAGGCTAACTGCTTCGTGGTACGCAGGCACTTCCACCTGGACCTAAGGCGGAGTGGAACCAAGCACCTCCGCCCGTACCTCACTACTTCCTGCCCATATCTGAAACCCACCTCCAAGCCGCCGCCGAGTTCTGTCTCAGAGAAGACCGCAATGCACCCTGGCCGGACGAGGGACGACGCGTCTTGGGCAACGAACTCAAGGTCCTGTGCGCGAAACAACGGCCGCACGTGATGGTTTATCGAGAACCGGGGGCAGGACGCGAGGCATTTGAAAAGAAACGCAGTGTATCTTCCTTTCAATCTGGTAAGCTTGAAACAACAGCGAGATATTTCTGCCGCGCTCTTTGTAGCAAGAAAAGTCGCCATGCGATCGACATATTCAAGACGGACTTCATCTCTCCAGAATCAGATTCGACGTTGACGCGCATGACCTGGAATAACTTCGTCCACCTGAGGGTAAATGTTGCGCCCAGCGACGATGACGAGGTCTTTCAGCCGGCCTTCGACGTACAGAAGGCCCTCGGCGTCGACGCGACATAGGTCTCCGGTGCGAAGAAACTCTGAATCGACCCATGGTGGGGTGGGAGGCCTGTGGGAGATGTTCCATGCGGTGTAGAAAACGTCAGACGAGTATGACAGGTAGACTTGCGGGCAACGAGCTAGCCACATCTCGCAAAAGTTTGAAGGAGCAACATACCCACCAGACATACAACGGCAAACGACCTACAACCCTCCCAGGTTGTGCACAACTTCATGCTGGGCACATCAACAGATACCGCCGCCTCAGCGGGAGACGGGAATGGGCCTACGACTGTGGCAAGACGTTTTCTATTGTGGCCTCACCCGTCGGCAACATCGCGCTCGATTCGTGCCCGAAATGTGCCCTGGGTTAGCTCCGGCTTTCCCCAGTAGCCTGCAGCCACCGAGTCCGACGATATCCACATCTCCCCCGTCTCCCCTACGGGAACCTCCCGGCAAGTCTCGGGGTCGACGATCTTGATCTGTTGAGACACGCAGAACAGAAACGGACTCACCCACATTGACTGTTGGACATCCTTGATCGTTCGGGGCTGACTAGACATGGTCGGGGATTTCAGGATGAGCGTAGCTACAGCGTTCATTTCACGGACCTTCCGGTGTGCATGTGTGCTACATTCTGGCTTGCAGGCAGGAAGAAAATTAACGAGCCAAACCCACGATTGTCGGTGGTCTGAAGCAAGCGCTTCGCGTCCACTTCATTCTACTCAAAACGATTGGCATCATGTAAACGGTACCGACTGGTATCGCAACATCAGCACCAATAGCACCAACTGCCGCAGCACCAGCACCAGCAACAACAACAACGACAACGACAACAACAATAACAACAACTCCAGCGCAAGCCTTCCAAGGGACGGCATGCCACGATGAGTGCAGATGTTGTGCCTGGTACTCACAACACCGCCTTGGCTGTTGGAGTATTGGACATCCACGGAAGCCTGCAGCCGTTCGTCGGGTATGCGGCTCAAGCTCCCCCCTCCATGGTTAGGGCTGAAGGCCCCGCAGGCGACGGTGTGCTCAGCGAGACCGTACGCTGCATTGGAGGTGTAGCTCGGCAGGCCCACGGTAGCAAAGGCTTCGGCGAAATCACGAACCTTTCCATGTGCAGATCAAAGTTGGATTTTGTGGGCACGTCGGGGTTTCCTGTTTCCTTCAGGCTGGCGTTTCTAACTAGCTTCATATGCCGACGAAGAATCACCTACGGCTGCCAACGCATCTTGCCGTGCTCTGAATTATTGAATATGCGAACAACGGAGTAATTTATTCATTGCTTGGAAACCTTCAGACTAGCGCAGAGGGCTACACTTGCTTGAATGTTGTCGGGTTGTTCCTTGCCCTACCCTTCGTTGTTCAGCTGCTGCTGCGGAAGGAAACGTTGTTCTTGGCAACTACAGTAGTTCAATTCAACTCTGGTCCGGGTGGCTAATGCCATGTTAGACTTGTTCCACGTCCCGTCGGACGAGTTGTGACGAAAAAGCCCGCTAATTTACCTTTGAAGCAAAGAGTAGGAAATTTCTAGATAAAAGCTAGAGCAGGTTTCTACACCACAATTTTCAACATCAACACATCACAACAACAACCACCTACAGCATTATCAACAACATCGTTTGTCATAAACAATATATGGGTAAGATGCAAAGTGAGGAAGAACGATTATCGAGTCTAGTCTAATCATCACCCACCGATACCCCGAGCGGTCGGTCTCGCAAACAGCCACACTCACAGTGCTAGCGCGGACAGGCTCGCCGCCGCTCTGCATGAACATGATGTGCCTCAGGTCCAGGTGCAAAGCCGCCCGACTCTCCGGCGACATCTCCTTCCTAGCGCGTAAAGCCGGGGGGCAAGTGAGCGAACGAACAAAATCCTAGAGTAAGCATCGACACATTTCGTTTTTTTCGTATGTTGATCGACGTACAGTGTACAGGTTGGGGAAAACAAAGACAACAACATCTGCATGCAACGATTCTGCCCGGTAGTGATGTAGACAGTACTTGTCGAAACCATTACTCTATTGGCAGACGTGTTGTTCTTCGATCGTTCCAAGCGCCGTCGTCGTTAAGTGTGGGCCTAACCTCTAAACAAAGTCGAGCGTCTCACCATTTCCGCACGCAAAGCCGAAACGCAAAGTCCGGAGCAGCCGTCATCTGGGACTTCTCCTTGGACATGAGCTCCAGCCACATCAGAGGTCGTCGCATGAAGCTGATCGGAGAGCAGTACGCCGCCGTCCACCCGGCGACGAATGGCGCCAGAGTTCCCTGGATCAACCCCATGTCGTGGAAGGTCGGCAGCCAAGAGAACCAGGTACGGTTGCCTTCCGCCGGCCCCCCTCGCGCTGCGATTTGCTACCGGTGGAGTGGCGAGCGACGAGTGTTACGTGCCGAGGGAAACGAGTTTGTGATTTGGGGTTCAACGAAGAAGATTCGAGCACTACACACTCGTCAGTGCTGCAGGAAAGACCACTCCGGAGTCAACCGATTGGCGGTCTGCACGAAAAACAAAGACCCGTCTCCTTGTACAGCACAGCAGAATTCCTTCGGCGCGATTTGTTATCCGGAATTGGTCGGCTTAGGTTCATTCGCTCATTTAGATACCTCTGAACGCCGTCTAGACAGCAAGCCTTCACCACCGCACCGGGAAAGAGGGACCACCGCAATTCGTTGGAAAATACACAAAATACCATCAGTAAACCCAGAGACAGCTCGTTTCTGTGGGTAACCAGATTGACCCCGAGTGGATGGCTTAGGGGTCTCGCACTCCTCTGTTCTCAGGTAGAAAACAGCAGACCTAGCGGATCTCACGAGAACGAAGTAAATGATACCGTAGATGGTTAGGTGCAGACGTCGGAGCCTCTCAATCTCTCACCGCATCGGAAGAATTGATTATGCAAGCGATGTTGTGGGTGAGGTTCCCGTACGTGAGCATAACCCCCTTCGGATCCGAGGTGCTGCCCGAGGTGAACTGCAGGAAGGCCACATCTCCCGGCTTGATGGTCGGGTCGTCGAAGCTCGGGCGTTTCGTTTCGGGGCCCATCTGCTTGCTTCCGCCACCCCTCCACCCAGCGGCGGCGATCGTCTCCCCTTTGACGTCAGGACAGCAGTGGTACCGTAACTTCGGCCAGTCGCTATTTCCCGTCGCCACCGCTCGCAGCTTTGACGACAGGCGGAGCTTGTTGACGAGTGGGCAGACGAGGATCATCTTGGGCGTACAACTGTCGACGATGAGCTGCAACTTCTGGAGAGACTTCTTGAGCGTGGCTGGGTTGGGTGGGTACACCGGCACGGCGAGGATGCCGGCTCTTAGGCAGCCCAGGAAGACCGCAAAGAAGCCCAGGCCAAAGTTGAAGGCCAGCACGACTCGGTCGCCCTTGCTCAGGCCCCACTCCACTCGTAGGAGGTGCGCAATCTGAGGGGGGAAAGAGGAAGCCGTAGAGCACGTCCACCTCGTACTGTTCACTCAATATCTACCGAACATGAATGCACTACAACATGCAGGACTCTCGGTACTACAAGCAGAGGATCGACTCGGGGTGCGCACACCGAGAATATTCACAGCCGAAGCCCAACAAAACGACTATTTCGCTCCCACCAATACATACCCCAAAAAATAAGTCTTCGAGAGCGTCTGGTCGGCGGTATTCCAACCTGAACCTTGAGCAAACCAGGCTGTCCACGTGAGAGAACGGCACCTCCCTGTCTAACGTATCATGCCGTGGCCACTGGGTGGTATCTCTCTCATCGGATGTCTCTTCTCTCGTTGGCGGTTTCATCGATATTTGTCGATCGCGTTCGCCAACTGAAGGACGATTAGTACTTTACGTGCGCCTCACTTGGGCTAGCCCGAAGCGGACGACGAAAACAAGCCGTACCCATTGGGATTTTTTCCAAAATTTGAGAATGGTGGGTAGCAAAACAGGTCAGAACCTCTCGTACATGTGATAGGGTGTGATGCTCATCCATGTACTCAGGAGTGAGTAGAATCACCTCACCTCGCCGCTTGCCGCCCAAACGCCGTGAAAGGTCCGGGTGGACTCCACTTGCCCCTTGTTGCTGTACCAGCGGGCGAAAACTTTGTGTTTGGGTAATTGTTCGACGGCTAGAGCAATCGCCTGGAGAAAGGTGTCATGCGAGTTCCTCGCGGATACCTACGTAGAGAGAGAGGGGGCCGAATGAATATTTGTGTTACTTATGTCGGAGGTCTCTGTTTTCGATAAGCAGGCATCAAGAGTGGTAACCAGCGAGGAGCGACTGAAATACATGTAAGTTGGTGACCACATCAAACGTGGAACTCCCGACGCGCTTCTTGTAGCAGCCACGCCCGGATGCAACATTCATGTGAGGAATCGTCTCCGTACAACGTATCGTTGCCGTCCACTTACGCGCTGGCCTGAGTCATCCCCGCCGTGGTCATTACTGGGAGCCGGGGTCATCTTGTCCCCCTCGTATGTTCGTCGCCGCCAGGTTGACCTGCACGTGAAAACGGGAAAGGGGGTGTGCCTACAACATGGATAGATGCCGGTGAGTGCCTACCGCCGCGCAACTCCACAACTTGTGGTGTGTGAGCGTCAAGAGAGTACTAGATCATGAAGTAGTTCAACCGCTCCTAACAGAACGTGGCCATGCTTGTGGCAGAGTCCAACAACTGCGACTCTACTAATAGAAATATGCCAAGGACCAATACTGTAAAAGGCGCGGAGATTGCACCGGGTGGGATCGTTTTTTAAATGATTTTTCCTCGTTTTTTCGCACCCCGGTGCGATATCTCCGACCCCCGGGTGCGGTGCCCCATGACGTACACACAGTCAGACAGTTCCTGTATGCACAAACACCAGTGCCACCTTCCCGACCGGTGCCATCTCTCCAGTTACAAGCAGAGGATGTGTGGTGTATAGTAGGCAATCCCGCACACATTACATATGGTCTTCCACGCATGCATGGTCTTCTGCACACACATATCTGAGCCGGAAAAAAGGCGGCGAAATGCAAATACTTCGAAGTATGTCCCAACAGCTTTCCAGGCAGCCAGTGGTCAATAATCTGAATACGGGTTTGGCTACGACGAGAGAAGGACAACAGGTGACATGGTTTACATCTGGGGTACCCGTACATGCATTTGGGGCAGCTGATAAATTTTCCCAGTCAATCATGGCTGCACCAAACCTGAACCGTTGCGGCTGTACGATGGGTCCCACGATAGCCCTACAACGCATCGACACAACTGTAAATGTCCTTCGTCATTGGTGCCTTGTAGGGCGAGATACAAAGAAAGCTGGTACTTTGACACTAATGTCCCACCGGTGGGGAAAACTACAAATACCCCATCAGTGAGGATTTAGACACGCCGGATAAACAATAAACAAAAACAAGACAAGTGATCTCTCCGGAGTGGGCTCATGAGATAATTATGGGGACACAATATTTGGGACAAATATTGGTCTTGGGCCAAGAATTGTCAGTTTCACGATTTATGGGGAACGAATCTTCCGAAAAAATCTTGGTCAAGATTCATCCGGGGCCAAAAAGTTGTCCTTTCGAACAAAAGTTGACCCAAGATTTGAATACTCGAGCTTGTCGGACAAATCTTGGAGCGGGCTGACCAATCTTCAACCGCCTTTGCGAGAAATTAAGCTCATGAAGGAAATATAACAGGGAGGGGGTACGCAGACCCTATTCCGTAGCCCTACCCCTAACAACCCAAGTTCCCCAAATCTTGCCCCAAACACAATTAAATCTTGGTAGGTCTGCTTATCGTCCATAACGCGATGAAATCTGCACGCGGCACCTTCGCAAGGGCCTATAACGCACCCTGCTTCTACTGCATCGACGCCACGGGCGCCGACAGCAGAGAAAAGCGGTTAAGGCGCGCGAAACAAAACATTTTCAACCTCTGGCTTGCCTCGTGCGTCTTCAACGGTGAGCACACATCTCCAACTTGAGAGCGGACAATCCCCATTCACATCTTTCACTCCGTAGTTGACGCATCGAGGCCAAACCTTTGATGCTGCAACCTCCACCAACCGTTCTCTCTCGGACGCATGTGAGGTGGTTGTGGGGTGCTTCTATCCAGAGATAAAAGCATCTCTGGTGACACGAAACTGTTGCTTCATCTGTGGAGGGACTGTTTGTTCAAAGTGTACTCAATTTTGCAAGTAGAAAAGAGAGCCAGCAGAATATTTTCCACAACAGCTCCGTCGTATACAACACTTCGTTTTATCTCTTCATCGAATCACCCCACACCCAAGCCGTTTGCACGCGAAACAGACCCGTGAGTCCAGATGATGGCACCGAAGGTTTGATCTCGGTACGCAAATACGTACGTACGTACAAGCTGGTTCACGGAAATATATTCAACCACAGCTAGCTGCCAGACGAAACATGTACACAAAGTTGACACATATGGCATCATAGTGACCTCCACGAGCAAGGGAACACATCGCCGTACATGTAGCTGGCCGTAGAAGGAATTTCAATTAGAGCCGTGACCACAATGCAATGGGCATAAATGTGTCTCAGCCAATCAGAAGCCTCCAACGTGATGAAAACGAATAATGCATGCAATCCCGCACTCTCTACCTCTTTTTGCCACAGTTTTGCAACGAAAAGTAATGCACTCTCTACCTCTTTTTGCCGCAGTTTTGCAACGAAAAGTAATTTCCAAAGTTTTAGGGGACCTAAAGAACAAAACAAAAGAGAGAGCGGTCATTCATTGTGGCAGCGAGTTTGGCCAAAATGATGGTTGGACTGCCGCGATTTGGCGTAATGGATTTCCATGCACAGAGTCTCGTGTTGGTTTGCCTCGAATACACAGAAGCAAATATTGAATGGTGCAACATAGTTCCGCAAACCGCAAAAGATCAATGATAAGATGTCTGCACTCCTTGACCGGCGTATCGGGGTCTCCGGTGTGGAACTCCCAAAGTCGGTTACAAATGAATTATGAGACTGATGTATCCGGGTTCACGTATGTGTGGTGTGGATACACACCGGTTCAACCTCGGGTGGAGAGGCTGAAGAGTACGGATAGTTGTGTTGTGTGTCAGGTGGGGAGCTACCTAGTGTTGAAGCAAGGTTCAGCGTCCATCATACTCTGACTCTATCTGTGGCAATACCCCGAAGGTAGATCTCCGACAAGTAGTCTGACGTCACAATCTACGACAGTCTGAGGTAGCATTCACAGCACCGCCCTCTCTTCAATCTCGGGGCCTGAATCCGGATTGAAAGATGCAAGAATGACATGAATACCCCAGAGTGCATGGAATTGTGAAGTACTGATGAAAAACATGAACTAAACGACTTGGGCCGTAACATACGGCGACTGCCATTATTCAACGAATAATTTGTGTGTGGTAGTTATGAAATTTGGAACGTTCCACCAACAACATATCTCATCCGAGCATCAATCGAACATAGCGTAGTCACAACCACAGCTTGCACTAGAGTAATTCAGGAATTTTGGCAACTATTCCCGTACGACGAACGAATAACTACACAGATGACGAAAGGTGTACGGGCCATGGCACTTCAGTCCGCCGCGGCGCTGTAGGCAACATGTGATGTACCGTACCTACGAACGACGTGTGTACAGGAAAAACATCACTCCGGTGCGCGTCTTGCCCCAAAAGTGTAAACAAAAACTGTACAAGTAGTACCTTGAGCCAACGCCGTGAACTATTTTGTAGTTGCACGCAACGAAAACATCCAGCAACGAAAAATAATTTGGCATTGCACATGTGAAAAACGATTGCTTGCAAGGCTTAAATGTCACAGTGTCAAATGGCAAATGACGTGGGTCGAACAGCTGGGAAAACGTTGCTAAAACGATACGCAGCGGCAACAACGAACGAACATATGTGCACAGCTCATGGAGAGCTAACAATACGACCTTCTCATGCGATCGCGCAATTGAGAGATGCTGCATAGACGAACGACGAATCGTGATTTCGAGTACAGCAAACGATGCGCTGTAGCATGGATTTGACGCAGTAGTGGTACGAAAGTCTGGTCCTCTTGTGCTTCCTCTTGCACGGCCAAGACCGCCACCTACTCTTTCGCGATGTACGACACGCGAGAAACGATGTGCGGGATGAATATCCACCACACACAAACGACTAGACAAGATCGGGCATGAACAAAACCGTGCGCAAAATGCAAAAGTGCATGGATACAGAAGTCGATTGTCAGTTGCAATTCCGCCAAACTGCAAGTGAAACGATATCACCCCCCAAATTCATGACGGAGTGAACGAGAAAAAACGACGAACTTCCGATCACGCATATTCGCTCACATAACGTACTAGGGTTAAGGATTGGCCCCCCGCCCCCCAATGGGGCTGTGGGCCAACGTCCAGGACGGATGGTGGTGAATGTCCGGGAGGACGGAAAGAAGAAGAAGAAGGGGAGAGGATTTGTAAGGGCGGGAAGAAGGGACGGTGTTGGGAGAGGCAAGGAAGTGATGAAGAAATTCGGCACTCGACGAGCGCGCGGTCCCGTCGGGGGTGAAAGGAACATGTCAGTCCGTAGTCTTGTCTATCGGAATCGAAAAGCCGAAAAATCGAGGTATACATTATGTACACAACGAACGATGGAGAAGGCCGACGAGGAAGGTACGAAGAGAGGAAATTGCACCCCACGTTCGAACTCGGGGTGAAAACCCCCGCAAGGATGGAGTGCGAAGGGAACAAAAAAAAAACGGAGACGTCGACGTTTGTTTGCGTCGTGGAGCGATCCTTCTGTATATCGCAGGTACTCACCATCGCAAGACGGGGAGGTAAAATCCCCATCGTGAAAGTCAAAGCGCAGGTCATAGCTGCATATGACTCATGCGCGGAGAAGTTACCACACGGAGACTTACCAACAAGAAGTTTGAAGGCCGGCTGAGAAGGTTTGAAGACACAAACACTTACGCGGCGACGATGGCAAGCGCAACGTCAAAACTTCACAAGAAGAAAAGTGCATACAAAAAAAGAAAAGGCCGGATGGCGACCTATGGCTCTCTCTCTCAGAATGAAGGGATTCCCACAATTTCTAACAGGTAGTCCACAAGTATCGAGGAGGACGTCGGAACGGTTTTTAAAGTGGAGACAACAGCAACAACAACAACGATGAAGGTCGACCCGTCCTGCGTCGTTCAGTGTAAAATGATAAATGCCAAAGATGTACTGCGTAAAGATCCAGCGGTCTTTTTCGGCAGTGGCAAAGAAATATGCGACCACATGCCGCGAAAAAAAAAAAAAGTTGAGCGGGATACTCTATTATAGTAAATAGAACACCACCTTCTCTGTTGTTGCAGGCAGGTTTGCTTCCACAACCCGGGAGTCCAACCCACTCTTGTATTTCGGCCTACAAGACTCCAATCGACACAAGCACCGGTAGGAGAGCGCGTGGGAGATGCCGTGACAGCACAACTCCACTC